AAGGTCTTTCCACCTTCCAGCCTGCGCATTGGATTTTTTAGGTGAGACACAGTGTGCGCGGAACTGAGCCCACCCTTTAATCCTGAGGTTCGTCTGCCGGGGCCAAGCGAGCTTGGACGGTGGCAGCGAGGTCCTCAGGACGTAGATGGATTGCCTTACAGGGCTAACGAGCTCCATCTGCCCGGGGAGTGTCCTAACCGGGAATCGAACCCAGATCTCAGCGTTGACAACGCTGTGGTTTAGCCACTGCACCACCAGGGACACTCGTAACAATAGGTAGTTACTTATAATCTGCCAAAATGAGTGCCTTAAGCTGTTAGTAATCAGCTATATAAGGAAAATGCAATTAAAAAACTTGAAGCTGGGTAGGAAGCTCGCATTTGCTGTCAGCCATCTCAATTCTCAAAACTCTGACTGTGTGGTAGGCAGGGTGGTGCTGACATAGTGGGCTTTTGGATGATCAGAGAAATTAAAAAAGTATCCCTGTAGCTTTAGGGGAAAATGTATATGGCCCATTTCCTCCAGAGTCATGGAAATTGCAGTTTGTGTTAGTCAAGAAGCAAATGATTCAATGATTCCAGTGTGGGAAACTAAACTGTGAAACACAGGGTTGATTTTTTTTTTTTTTGTCTGAAGCATATATTGAGTAGATGTGATTCCTTCAAGTCTGCATTTAGGATCTGGAGTTGTTCAGAGCACAGGGTTGGAATTGAAGGCTGTAAACTTGTGTCTCAGGAACTGAATATGTCACACAAGCTTTTACTGCACAGAGGAATCATGACCAAAATGCTGACTCTTAAAAAGCATTTGGAAAAATACTCTAAATTTCTTAAATTTCTACTGGACTTCCATGTTTTTTGTTTTTGGTTTTGGGGTTTTTGGGTTTGTGTTTTTTTTTTTTTTTTTTTTTTGGTCATCAGGTTGGATGGCATCTCAGGATTTAAAGAGGTGATCTTTATAGCCATCTTTCGCTGTCATGGTTTAAGCCCAGCCAACCACTGAGTCCCACACAGTGACTCGCTCACTACCCCCTGGTGGGATGTGGGAGGGAACTGGAAGAGTAAAAGTGAGAAAACTCATGTGCTGAGATAAGGACAGTTTAATAGGCAAATTAAAAGCTGTGTACACAAGCAGAATAAAACAAGGAATGGATTCACCCTTTTATGTGAGCAGACAGATGTTCAGCCATCTGGAAATGCAGGAAACCAGTGCCCCATCATGTCTAATGGTGATTTGGAAAAGAAGACAAACAGTCACTTTGGCATTCTCCCTTCCTTCTCCTTCTCCCAGCTCTGTATGCTGACCACGACACCATGTGGTCTGGGATATCCCTTGGAACAGCTGAGATCAGCTGTTCTGGCTGTGTTCCCTCTCAACTCCATGTGCACTGGAGAGTGTCCCACTGGCTGGTGGGGTGGGCTGAGGAGCAGAAAAGGCCTTGAGTCTGTGTAAGTGCTTCTCAGGAGCAGAAAACATCGCTGAATTATCAACACTGTTTTCAGCACAAATATGAAACCTAACACCATACTAGCTTACTGTGATGAAAATTAACTCTATCTCAGCCAAAGCCAGCACACTACAGTATTTCTGAGATGAAATGTTTTATTCCTCTACTTGCCTCTGCCCTGTGTCTTACTTTACTGTGAGCCTGTCCTTTGTCAGATGCAGAGATTCAATGCTTTAGTTACTGCAGTTCCCTGCTATTGTAGCAAGTAAGAAAATATTTGTAGCTTAGCCTAGAAGTGGATCCAAGACTGTAACTTGTGACCTGTCTATGAACTGTTAAACCTCGTCAGAACTGAAACAGTAGCTCTTGCTCTGCATATTATAAAGCATAAAAGAAAGCACCATGTACCATTTCAGTCTATTTAGAGCAGGGAGAAAATACACAAAGTAATTCTTGTTTTGCAAAAGTTGTTAGCATGGAACAGGGGATGGTTGTCACAGCAAAGATTGTAAAAGATGTTTAAGACAACCACAGTTGTTAAAGCAGTGTGTTCTGTTTCTCAAATGGTTAGGAACGAAAATAATTCTATCTTAGATGCCTCTAGGAAATAACCTGGCACACATAGGAAAAATTTACCTTCTTTAGGATGTACGAGTTCTTGTACTTTGTGGTTACTGAACTTGGCCTCTCATTTACAGTATATTTTCTCATGAAAGAAGTGTTCTTAAATAATTTGTCTGTCTATTTGGGGAAAAAAAATCAGGCTTTTTTCCGTGTCTGGCATAAGTGCTTTTTTCAGCTAACTTATGGAAAGAAAGTAAGTTGGCTGTTGCATTCATGTTTGCATCCCATGTTGCATTTATATTTGGCTTTTCTGAGTATGTGTGAGGATATTCTAGGAAGTTTGGGGTATAGCAGAACATGATGATATATCAGTAGTCTTGGAGGGTATGTGGAGAACAACAGGCTGGGTTGGTTTGGTGTTTTTACTAAGGGATCAGTTGATTAAACAGCCTTCCATTAGTGATTAAAATGACATTTCTTTTCCTACAAAAGCTGTTTTAACAAGTTCTTGATGCCTGTGTTCAGGTATTGATAGAGTTACAAGCATGGCTTAGCATTAATATGAAATGTGTGGGTATAGCTAAATAAAGCTACACACAATTTTAAAAGCTATCAAAACTAAGTTGCTGCCTTTATGTTGTAGTTTGATGTGTAGGATACTCCTAATGCACATCCAAGTAAAGGAATTATTGATTAAGACACATTACTTGCATGAAGGCTACAATGAAGAATGCAGGTACCTGCAGTAGGAAAATACTGGTATGTGATGCTAGCAGAGGGTTATTTTTCTAAGGACGCATTGTTTTCTTCTCAGAAAATCCAGGTTTCTATTTGTTGTCCCCTTTTTTTTTTTTTTTTTTTTTTTTTTTTTTTTTTTTTTTTTTTTTTTTTTTTTTTTTTTTTTTTTTTTTTTTTTTTTTTTTTTTTTTTTTTTTTGGCTCAGGTGCTTCTCTGAAGAGAAGGAAAATACTGACTCTGAAGCCTTTTTAAAAGGTTTCTTACTGGTGTTAAGTACACTCTTCAGATTACTGACAACCAAATTAAGTGAATGATGTCTGAGAATACTTTTTAAAATCAAGTTTTAGTTATGTACAAGCTGCTATTTGTACCGATTAAAAACAAATGAGATTTTTTTTCTTCTACTGTATTTGAAGAATAGCTTTACTGATGTGACTTAAAACGGTTATGGGAGATGAACAGGAGGGTTGATTCCAAAAAGGTATCAGGGAGCATCTGATTACATCATATTTTCTCATATGTTTAGTCAAACCATTTAGACTGTGAAATAGATCACCTCAACAAGACTGCTCACAGAAATTGTGATGATAGTAACTACCATTATGGAAAAATTCCGAAATTACTTTGTTTGTTATCTGCGACTGTTCAGTGTGCAGTCCTCCAAATCATCATTGCTATTTCTTATGAGTGATTGGAGATTGTAAGTTTATAAGAGTGCATGTAATTACACAACACTCCAGAGCATGCATGTCTACTGCTCTACATAAATGTTTTATTATAGAGTTACTTGTGCCACAGTAGTGAAATATCTGGGACAAATGGAAATTAGACTGCACTGATTTCCTCCTGTTCAATACTGCTAGTTTCTAAGTATATTAAATGACCTGTTTGTTACCAAGATATTTGACATCATTCTTGAAAAGCCGCACACTTGTAGATGAATTCTTGCTTGGGCCAAAGAACTGTAGAAAAATGAAATCCAAAGCTGTTCTGTGAGGTGTAAATTTCTGATGGCATAGTGATGGTGGATTTTTCTTTTAATAGGCTCTGGAAAACATCAGTGCCACCAATGAATAGCTTGATCTTCCCTCTCAGCTCCAAATGATTTGTACTGTTGTTCATAAGGGTAAGTATAATTCCATTGTGAAAGTGTTGGTAAAATCTAGAATGGTTTTTAAAATACGTCATTGTAGCTTTTTTTTTCCTACTTACTTCAGTAGACACATTCAGAGAGTGTCTGACCAAAGTTGGCTCTAACTTAGTGGTTTATTCTTGATGTAGCATTGCTTTACAGCTGTGATAAGATGCAATGTAAAATATCTTCCTAGTCTGAGGAGGTATGGCATGTCAATGCAGCCAAAGGTCTTGGACGTCTGAGACATGCCACTGAATATCACAAGTTTCATAATTTTGCCCATCATTAGACCTTTCAGGAACATCTCATGTGGTATGTGGAGGAGCCAGATTTCACTGCAGACTTGCATACTGGTGTGGGGAAAAGATACAGAAAGTTGTGTAGAATCAGTCATGTGCTGGACATGTTCCGGGTGCAGGACTATTCCTTTAGTCTGCCTGAAAAATACTTCTAGGAATATCTTAGATATGTCACCAATCTCAGTGACTTGCTGTCCTCTGAGAAGTTTGAATTCAGAAAAAAAAGGGATAATAAATTTTCTGATTTTTCTAACCACTTACTTTTCTAAAGCAAATACCCTCTTCATAACTTAAGCTTCTGTTATTAGATGTTGTCTGTTACTGAAAATGGAGATGTTACTGCTGGAAAACCAAATGAAGAGAAAACATATAAAAAGGTAAATAAAACAAGCTTTTTATTGTATGTTTTCCCCTTCATGTTGCTAATTCAGATCTACTGTAAGTGAAATATATTTTAGAACTAAGTAAAAACAAGAACAAATAACACATGTTCCATGGATTTTTTTGTAAGTAGTTTATTCTTTCTGTAAAATCAGTCATAGATATTTCTACCTACTGCAGAGCTGACTGTTTAAAGCATGGTCAGTACAGCTGTAAAGTATATACTCTTGCTAGATTGATAGAAATTCTTTGCTCTTAGCAACAGATATACCTCTGGGCATAGACACTGTTGTGAGAAATTTAGTACAGCAAGTTCCCAAATGCTTTGAATGTTTATACAATGTGTCTGGACTATAAACCTTATCACTTCTTCAGTGCTTTGTCAAACAGGCCACTATTTGTTTGCTATGTGTTTTTAAAAAAAGAAATGTTGTTGAAGAGAGGACATATTTAGTGTAGGAGCAATCATCAGTGGTAGCAGAACAGATCCATTCATATATTGTAACAATAGCTGATACTAATTTGGAGTTTGTTTTTCTGACACTGGTTGTCTTGACCAACATTATTTAGGTCCGCCTAGCAATATTGGTAACTAAGTGGAGCTATAAATGCGCCTTTTTCTATATATATTTACATAACCAAGTTGTTAGCTGCCAAATTCAATATTTTTCTTGGCAGATCACCTCAAAGAAATGGTGTCTGGTTTTTTTTTCTTAATTTCTGTAATCTAGCACAGAGATTGAAATACTTCTACAGTATGTATAATGTTAAGAGTTTTTCATTTCTGGGTGTGACAGCACTGTTGGTGAAGTCAAGGAGATTACTAAACTGCTATTTCTTTTCCCACCCCTTTTGCTGGCAGTTACATTTTCAGTATCTGGGTGTCCTTGGCATTTCAGATAGTTTTCTCAGAAATGAAAGTAAAGAATGTTTGAGAAAATTACTTCACCCCCTTTTTAGGTACAAGTTATATTTGATCTCCCAACTTGTCACTTTAAAATAATAAATTCTAATTTTTTCTTGACACTTAGTATGAGAAAGGAAGAAAATTTCAGTGCCTAAGATGAACACTTCCACAGTTTTATTTCGCTAGACTAGACTAGTAGGTAGCCATATGTAAGTTTCCATTCCCCCTAGTCATTCTACATACTCTTCTCTCTTCCTTTTCAACTATAAATTCACAAAATTCCAGAGAAATTCATGTAAAGGCTTCTCACTGTGGTACAGATTCTTCTGTGCATTTACTGGAAATACCTCTCTGACAAAATGTAGGATTCACAGCCACATCACACTGAAAGATCATGGTGACTATCATCTCCAAGTTCTATTGTCTCCCCTGAACCACCAATTGTCTGTGTTTTATGTCAGTTTATTTCCTTTTCATATCATTACACCCTCAGTTGTTCTGTGTTCAAGCTCCTGTGTTGCATATGCCCCATAGTTAAGTATTATCTCCAAATATTATCATCATACTCCTCCTTTTTGTGATAATGTTAATAAAAAGTTAGTAAGTTTTGACCCTACAATTTATCCATGCAGGGCTAACTGGTAACATGTCTTTGCCTGATGCCTCACGTTTAACAATGTCTCTCTGACGAACGTTGAGGATGGATAGGGAGGGGGACCTCCAGGCTAGAGGCTTTTCCTTTTACCTCTGGCTCCGGAGAGGGAAGGTGCTCCCTCCCCCCACCACGAGGCGTCCCATGGCCCCTGCAGAGACCACAGGACACGGCAGCAGCAGGCAGGGCGAGAAGGCAGAGAGCTTTATTGTTCTGGGTAACTGCTTAAGTACCTTTTAGGGGGATTACAATGTGACTATTGGGAGTCCAGGAGGTCTTACAAAACAACCAATTACAAGAAAGGGTTAACAACCAATAGGGAGACTTTCAGGTATCTCTCAGGACATTCCAAAAGTACAGTGAGGACTAAAAGAATTTTGGGAAGAAGAAGGGTTTACACAAAGAGTTACCAAGCCATTTTGGAGGCATGTTCACTTTAAGCAACATTAAAACCTTCTATATCCTTTTATATATTGCAAAATTACCCCAACATCTCTCTTCTCTTGAGCCAAATTCCTTACAAACCTTGCACTTTCTGTTAGACCTTGCAGACTCTGCTTGAGCAGGGAGTTTGGACCAAATGACCCCACCAGTGGTCCCTTCCAACCTGAACCATTCTGTGATTCTTTGATCCTCACCTCCAGATATTCCATATAACATTTCATATTTCCTATGGAAGTTAGAGGAATCAACAGTAGATGTCAGGAAGTGGGATACAGGTTAAGCCTGGTTTATCTGAGGCATTTTGTGTCATTTCCCAGTTAGTTCCATATTTTTAGATAACTTACAAAAAGAGATCTTGCTTGGTTAAATGCTTGTTTACAGTTAACACCTGTCTGTCTTTTATTGCCCACATCACTTTTCTTTGTTCTTTTACACAGGTTTGCATTTACAGTTCTCCAGTCATGTGTTGTTATTCTTGTTTGGTTTGGCTGAAAAATACTTGCAGTTCTGTCCTGTGACTTCCTCTGCCACTTCCTCCAGAAATCTGGGCTAGGGAAGAGCTTGTTCCCTCAGCTGGTGCTTTTTCTAGCTACTTGGGCAGTTTCTGTTCCAATTTACCACTGCACTTAATCGCAAGGGCACTTAGTCAAGATATTCATCAAGTTTTGAAGAGAGATCGTGCTTGCTAATATATTCACCTTGCTCAGAAACTTCACTTGCACAATTTTTTTACATAATAAACTATTATTACATAATAATATTTAAATATTATTTAAATAGTATTTGAATATTTGCATTTAAATACATATACCATAAAAATTACAGAATAAATTTTTACACAAATTTATTCTTACATAATAATACACTTTTTTAACATAATACATTGCATAATAATTTACATAAAAATTGAAGCTTATACTGTTCAACTGAGAAAAACAGGACAGTATCTTGGTTTGTGTCCTATATTTCTTTGGCATATGTGGCCTTGGGAGAGTTCCCAAAGATACTACTTGTCTGTACATCCTGGGGAAAAAAGGAATCTTGTTTATAATGAACTTCGACTACAGTAGTAGTCAGCTGACTTGCCAGCTGCATGGATGTAAATACCTTGAAGCTCCAAGAAATTTCTTACATTATTACAACCTTGTGCAAGGTTGAGCAATGAGCATTGCTACCCCATCCTTGCAGACTCTGCAATGTATGGTGGGACCAAAAAATGGCATGCTCCTTCATTTAGCTCTTTTCTTTTTTAGTTTTCAGTTTTTCTGCTACAGCATTCTGATATAAATTTCAGATATAATTCTGATATAAAATCTTCTCTCTTTTAATTGTCTGTTGTTATCTACTCTAAGTCCTTGAGAGAAGAGGGAATGCAACTTCCTCTTTGCTGTGTTTGTTTTTATTCTGAAAACCACAGTGTTTTCCTCTCTTTGAAAACAGTGTTATTTAGGGTGGGACTGCTGGGCTGTTCAGTTGCAGGCGTTTGCTACAAACTTTACGATCTGAAGCTACTCCTGGGTTTTCTCTGTATGTGTAAATTTCAAGAAGTTGCTGAAGTCTACAGTGTGACTATGAGCTACAGAATGTTTCAGTAACTTAAAGAATTTAGTTAATGGAACAGACACTTCACAGAGGAGCCTTGTAACAAAATCCAGTCACCAGACTACAGTTTCTCCTGGATATTTATCACAGTCTTGTCACTGATATGTGGAGTAGGCATAACCCACATTTATCATTTCCTCCCTATTATTTTGCAGACTTTGCTATGAGAAGCTGCTGAGTCATGTTCAGCTTTTGCATTGTGATGTCATCAATCACACAGTATTCCCTGAATCTTCTCTCTGACAAAACATGTTTCAGTAGCATCTTGGTGATAATACTAGGATAGTAGCAAGAATCAGGCAGACACGTCTGTCAAAGCACATTAAGTGTGTAGAAGAAAATCAGACCTGAAAACAAAGCATATGGAAATGTGCACTTGTGAAAAAAACTGCTACTGGATTGCCACAATCTCTACATTTAGTCTAAAGGCTGCCACACACACATATAATTAGAGAGGGTTGTTTTTGTTATTACATATGTTGTGGCTCTTCTATTTAGCATATTACAAGCACTACATCACCTGTCCAAAACTGGGTATCAAAAATGAGTCACTTTTCCAGGAGCAAAGGGAATTTTCTTGGTTAAAGGAAGCCAGCTACTTATTGTTAGAGCTTGCAAACACATGCAAGCAGCATTGCTTCATCACTTTGGGCATTGACTTATGCCCTGCATGTAGTGTCTCCACATATGGTACTTTTTCTTGCAGATGCTGAAACTTCACTACTTGAGGTTTTACTGCACTGAGACCTGTGTTCTCAGTGTCAGACTGTGCATCTGCAAGGACACTGAAATAACTCTCTTTAGTGGCTTTGCCTGGAGCAATGGCTACTATCAAACTTAGAGGTCTCAAATTGTTTTCCTCAGGGAAATCCAATAATCAGAGTAGTTGGATTCATGGTTACATCTGAAACTTCATCACAAATGTTTTGAAATGGAGGAAAAATTATTTGAAAGTCATGGAGTCATCTGAATCCAATTTTGGAAAATGGAGATCACATTCAGCTTGGGTCAGTAAATCATTCTGATAGCCATTGAGCTGGAAGAATTAAACAAGCACACACACGGTGGGTAGAAGTCCATCTTGATGACACAGACAAACACGATATCCAGCTTCGTGAAAGACACACACACAGTGGGTGGAAGTCCATCTTCATGAACTGTGACCTGCAGAAGATGGGCAAATATTTGATAGAGAGAAGAACAGTGTGAACTGAAGGAAGATGGAACAGGTACCGGTGTCTATAGTGACCCATGGTAACAAGTTCTGGAGAAACAGTCAGATCAGTTTATTAGTGAGATTTTCTGGTAATTCTGTTTTTATAATGTTCCTGTTTGTGATTTATTAGGTGTCAGCTGCAGAGAGTATGCTGAAATGGGGTAACCACCTCCAGAAGCTTTAGCAGAAGCAGCTATAAGAAGGGTTTCAATGGGACTGTAAGCACAGCAGGCACTCAAAGACAAGACAACTCTACTGCGGAAGCGGTGGACTAGGCAATAACCACATGTACATCTTGAATCTAATTGCAATTTCCTAATGTTCTAAGACAGCTCTTTTTAAATGTTGCTTGGAGAAGTCGTACAGTTTTTCAACAGACATTCTCCTCATCTGCAAACTTAATACATGATTTGAAAGGATTTATGTTCTCATTTATTTTGCTATTCCAAAAAAGGATTTCAGCTTAGAGTGATGTAAAGCAAGTGGAAGACTCATCTGCTGATAACAGTAATTCAAGAGAACAGTGCGTCTAGTACTAGAATATATATCAGTGATGCAAATATTCCATATACCTAACTGTCTGTGCTCTATATTATATACTGTTTCATCCTGTTATGCTTTGTGTGTCTGCATATAATTTTTCATTCCTACAGCCTTTTTAGCAAAGCTATATATAGTTACTTTTGATAAAAATAGACTAAGGTGTATATCATCATAAAGAGGACAGTTTAAGCTTTTTTATTCAAGGATAAAACTGTGCAGAAGCTTTTTTGTTTCAATCCTCCATAAACTGTGGGACTTCTGGAGCACTTTGTCCCCAGTACATCTCTTCCTGAAATGCAGCACTTTTACCTTTGCTGATCTGTTCCCATTTAGGATGGAAGAGAAATGTCCTTACCTACTTTGAAATATTGGCATTCTGGGACAGTAGTACAGGGAATGGGCAATTTCTCAGTTTGCATGGCTGCAAGAATTGCAGTTTGCAGTATATTTAATCATATAACAGTGACTGACAAACAATTGACTTTGGGGTAGCAATTGCCTTCAGCATGCTGTAATTGCCATCAATTTATTTTAAAGCAGTTGTTAAAGTATCCTGAATTATTTCATTACATTGCTTTTCTGTCAAACCAACTGATGTAATTGCTGTAGAAATGATGGGTGGAAATTAACAAGATGGTAGGCTTGGAGGTAGAGTCTGCATCATACTTGTAGAAGGCTTTACATTCTGCCTTTCAGAGACTTTAGGTCTGTAGGTTTTCTTTTAAATTTGAAAAAAAAGTACAGATATTTTTTATGAGCTCAAAAGGTGATCCAGAGTCTTCCTTTTGAAATCACATTGCCAGGTTACCTGTCTTGGAGTTTTTTTGAAGTTCAATGGGTTTTATTAGGGTTTATTTGGAATAGCACGTCCTCTCTTGTACCTTCCTGTCTGCTGTTCTTTCAGACATAATCGCTGGCTATGGCAGTGAACAAGATGGGCATCCAGCTATGAAGCAGAAACTATTTGTATGTGTATTGGTTTGATCAAAGTTACATAATTACAGCTTTTGTTGTGCATTAATCATTCATGAATAGAAGCCTTTCAAGGAAAGAAAAATGTGACTCCTCTTATGACAAAAAAGCAAATCGTTTTAGTAGTCAAAGTAACACTTTCAGAGTGGGGTGTTGTTTGTTCCCACCAAGTTGCCTGTTCTAACCTGTTATGCAAGTATAAGTTCTGCATGGTGTGCAGTCTTAATTATTTAGGAGGTACACATCTCTGTCTTTTCTAAAAATAAGCAGTCACTCCAGTATTTGCTGTTCCAAAAACTGTAACAAGAGTAGCTTTGTGTACTTGAACCATTTCTTATGTAATTCCCATTCCTGAAATGATTTTGTTCAAGTGCTGAAGTGGTTCTGATCATGAAACTTCTGGTGCTCTTTGCTTCCACTGTTAATCTTGAGCTTGTTTGGTGGGTGGGAGGTAAAACCTAAAAGCAAGCACCAAATATGTTGCCTTCAGACTGGTGAAAATACATCATGTAAGGGAAGATACTCCCTTCCTGATAGCCTCCTTTCCCTTCCCAGTGGTTTTCTCTATTCACTCCTTTGGTCTTTTCTTAAGAATTCCTTTCTTGAGCAGTTTCTGATTTTGACTCAGTTCCACCATTTTTTATAATTCATCCAGCAGGATTGTCTATTGAGCTTGAGAAAGTTCCAGAAAAGGTCTCAGTTTACACATATATAGTATCACAATTTAGTGCTGACCTTTTGAACCTTTATCTATCCTGCAAACCCTGGCTGTTGAATTTAGTCATTCCACTTTATGCAGGTAGATTTGTTTAGAGGGACTTCTCTTTCCACATCACTTTCATTTTTCTCTGCATTCCACACAGTCAATGCGCCTCTTCCATTGACTGTTAGGCAGAATGTAACAAACACATTTGTATCTAGAATCATCATTTAAGCCATAAGCTTGCTTCGTAATGCCTTGGCATGCATGTACAGTCACCTGGAATTTGTGACTTTTTTTCCAGTGCATGCTATTTCTAACTCCCGAAGCAATTTGAATGTCCAGTTAGATTGAAAATATCTTATGAGGATCATAAGCTATAGGCTGTTTTGTAAAGACAGGCAGGATAGTTGAGGAGGAGGAGTTGTGCTCTATGTTAAAGAGAACCATGAACATATAAAAGTTAAATGCAGTGACTATGGAAGCCCTATCAAATGCCTCTGAGTCAAGATCAGAAGGTACATCTCCAAGAGGTATCTTAGATTAGGCCTCTGCTACTGACCCCCAACCAAGATGGTAAGGACAAAGAAGCACCTAAACAGGGTCAAGCAAGTTTTAGGTTACAGGTCCTGGGTCTTATGGGTGATTTCAACTACCCATACATTTGTTGGTGGAACAATACAGCAGGTTACATCAGCCATCAAGTTCCTGGAATGCACAGAGGACTGCTTCCTCACACAAACGGTAGATGTGCCAACCAGGAATGAGGGGCTGTTGGACTTGCTACTCACAAAACAAAGAAATCTGTCTTGTAGTATCTTGATTAGTGATGGTTTTTGGCTGCAGTGATCCCTATATTGTGTGAAGTTTGGGGTCTGAAAGTTAGTACAAGGCAAAGTTTTTAGATTTTGAAAGAGCAAACTTCAACTTGCTCAGAGCTCAACTGGGCTTCCATGGAGTGAGGGAGTGCTGGGGATTTTCCAAGACCACCCTGCTGGAAGCATAAAACCCGTTCATTCTCTATAAAGGGAAGGGAAGGGAAGTAGGTGGAGAAAGAGACTCCCTTCGCTTAACTGTGACCTTCTGAGTCTGTTCAAAACCAAAAGAGAAGCAAAAGAGATAGAAAAGGGGACAAATACTTGTTGAGAACTGCAAGGGAGTTACCAGGGCATGCAGAGATGCAGTTAGAAAAGCAAAGATACAGCTCAAATTGAAATTGGCAAGAGACATCACGAACCACAAGAAAGAGTTCTTTGGGTATATAAACAACAAACATAATAAACAATAATAAAAAACAGAAGGAAAATATTTGCCTGCTGTTAAACAGGAGAGTTGAATTAGTCACCAGCAATCCTGAAAAGGCAGAGGTTCTCAAGACTTCCTTCATGTCTGTTATCACCAACACTTTTGGGCACCAGACCTTGGGAACAAAAATCCAGATTGCTGCAAACTCAGATCCAGTGTCAGTGAGTTGGTGTGTGAGCTATTACAGAGCTGGGTTTTGTTTAGCCTTGAGAAAAGAAGGTTGGGGGGAATACTTCCCACCATTTTCCAGTATTTAAAGGGTGGCTACAAAGAAGATGGAGACTTTTCTTACAAGGAGTCACATAGAAAATATGAGGGATAATGGGTTAAAATTATTCCGGGGACATTCCAGTCAAACACAAGTGGAAATATTTCACAGTGAGAATAGTTAGCCAATAGAATTATCTCCCCAGAAGTGATGAATTCCCCAATGTGAGCATTTTTGAGATTTGGCTTGACAGGGTGCTGGACCATCTTGTCTAGACTGCTTTTGCCAAGAAAGGTTGAACCAGATGATTCTTGAAGTCCCTTCCAGCCTATGATTTTATGCCGAGTTAGAACCCAGTGTGGAAATTATTTGTGCAATTTGAAAAGTTTCAGTTTGTACAACCAGAAAATTAATTTTTGTAGATTTTGCTACAGTATAGTGATTATTTTAAATATTTTAATTGAAAATCAGTCATCTCAATGAGCTCTAGGAGATAAAGATTACATGATTTTGTTATTACGAAAATGATTAAAGAGTTTAGCATATAACATTACTGATAAAGAACAGAAATCTGGTTTTAGCAAACTCATGCTTGAATTCTTATTTTCTGTACAGACTGCATCCTCAGCTATTAAAGGTGCTATCCAGCTGGGAATAGGATACACAGTAGGAAACCTTACATCAAAACCAGACAGAGATGTTCTTATGCAAGACTTCTATGTAGTGGAAAGTGTTTTCCTACCAAGGTAAGAACAAGCCTTTTCAATTTGTCTTCAATAGAATTTCATAATTAAATTCTTAACTGGATATTTGAACAAGGGTTGTTTTCCAGTTCTAACGAAATGATGTTAGAGAAAAGTTTAATGTATGGAACTTCTGTTTGTCATGTTATCATTGAAAATGAAGGTAGGAAGAAAACTGAAAAGGTCACATTTCAGCTGAAGGTTTGAGACATCAGTTGTGGAGAGGGAGAGTAAATGTGACATTTTCAATTAAAGGAGCTGTTAATTACCATTTGAAGTGATATGTGGATCCAACATTCACATTTGTCTAGTTTCAGATTATTTTCTAAAAAGTGAAAGTAATATAGACATTTTGTTGAGGGAGTTTCAAAATTTATGAAAATTCAAGTCCTGTATTTTAAGTATGATATAATAGTTTATATTACACTATAAAATTCTATTCAGGACTTTACTCTGTGACAATGCTTAGCTCTTACAAGCTGATTACAGGTTGAGCATCTTTATTGCTCTGCCATCTCAGCTTGTTTCACTGTCAAAGTGATGGTATGGAAACTGTAACAATAGAATCACACCAATGAGAGAAATCAAAGTCATACTGAGTTTTGGAGTTCAAAAACTGAAGTACAGGGCCATGTAACTTCTCCAAATTCCATATGCTAAGAAGGGACAAAGAAGGTTTAGGAAAAATGTGTTTCAAAACCAAGATTACTTGATCCGTTCAGTGTGGTCTGGGTTCTCAGATGTATTGAGTACCTTCCTTTCAGTAACGACATGCTATATATGCAATCTTCCTTGAATTTAACAAAAATTTCTAGGAGTTTTTAAAGCCTTGTTCACGTGGAGTTTCAATGCTACTTCATAAGATGTTTCTGATAATTTACAATCCTTAATAATTACTGGTATAACTAAACAAAGTTAAATTAACAACATACAGAATAATTGCAGGCATTTTAAATTTTTATCTTTCCCTTTGTAAATTTGATTTGATTTGACTCCTGTTTTTCTTTGAACTGAGATATCCTTAAGGAAAAGAAAATTAATTTTTTATGTGAAATGAAGCTTTTACATTACATACTTTTGTTCCTAGTAGTTGAGAGTATTCATATCCTTGTTCTAGTGTTAATAATAAGGTTTGTGCACAGTTTTGAAGCCTTTCTCTTGTAGATTAGGTAAATATAGAGAAGTTAACCATATGCATATGTTTTCATACACTGTAAGCACAAGATTTTATTTAAAATAATCCAGGTTACCAGGGAGAAATTTGCATATCATGTAACAAGGTTTTTATTGGTGTTACTGCCTGTAACACTAATGGAAGCTTCTGTAGTTTGTTTGTTGTGATTATCAGCTTTGTTCGTGGAAATTAAATGAAACCTGCATACTAAAACTGTTTCATTACCTAGCACAGCTTGAGAAAAAAATCTGTTCTCTATCTTTTTAAACATGGTTTTAAAGGAACAAGTAAAATAAAATGGTTCATAGTTCATACCATTGCATATGTCTTCTTTCCTGTGAAACTCATATGTACATACAGAAATGAGATTTCCCAGTTTTGTGTTCATTTTAAGGAAGAGCTGGGAGACATCCCTTCTGGCTTAAAATGAAAACAATGACAGAGGGAGTAGGATGATTGCACTAATGTAAAATAGATTAGAAAAGCTTTAGGAATATCTTTCTGAGAATTTCCTATAAATAAATAAATCAGAAGAGGAAAAGTAAAATTTGAAAGTAATAGTGAGAACAGCATAGTTTTGGCTTTTTAGTTTGGGTTTTTTTGGGGTTTTTTTTGCATCACTATGCACTAAGCAGTGAGCGAGTTAACTGTGACAAAGAGCCTCTCTGTAAAGAACACTTGTTGACAACATTCTCTGTGGAATATATGACTATCCATAGCAATCTCTTCAAACCATGACATTTGATTGCTTGTGCTGATGGACAGAAACGTCAAATTTCAGATCCTTGTTATGTCTCATTGTAACATGCACTTTTATTTATCTAAAGTATTTTCAACCAAAAGTGATATTACTGTGCATAAATTGTAATAATTTAGGATTGCACATAATAATACAGTATTCTTTCTTGCTAGTTGAGAGTATTTGGATGTTGAGTGTTTCATGATGGCATTCCGTGGATTAGTCATGAGTCATATCCATACCTAGCTTCATTAGCCCAGGTAAAAAGCTAAGGTTACATGTTCTTGACAATCAGGGCTGCACTCCCAAAGTGCACCTCAGGTGCTCTTTATTTTTTCCTAGCACAGGACCTACATGTGATGGCAGTATTATTAAAAGCCTTTACTTTAATGACTTCTGGTTTTGTCTCCTTTGGATTGGTATAGGTTGAAGGTAATTAGCTGAAATTAGTTACACCAGCAGGCCAAGGGGGTTGACCTTTACCTGCAAGCATGCCGGAGCAAGCTGAGGTTGGGTAAACTTTTTACAGAGGTTTGCAGCTTAAGGAGAACCTAACAGTGCAGCACATGTGGTGCTGAAAACAGGTGGTTACCAAGCAAGGTACAGGATTTTTCCACTTGCTTTGGGTACAAATAATTCATCTGCAACTCCAAGCGGACCATTAGCTGAACTTCCCCTTGATTGTGGCAAATTCACACCAACTCCTCCTCCATGTTCCTCCCATGTTTTTCCTGCCTCATTTGTGTCTGGCACTGAGGTGAGAGGACAGCTGTTTTGCAGAGTCATAGGTACACCTATGACATCAAGAGGAGTGCTGTAACAGTGGCAATGATAAAATAGGCCTAAGCTAGGAAAGTTGCAATGAAACAGCAACCTATGCACGAGCAAGCAAAACAGTGTTATCTCTACCTTTTTACTATTAGAGGAAAATAGTCAGCAATTGTTTATGAATTTTCTCAGTTGCAGAAGATAGTGTCTGCATACATCTCAGACCCTGAAATAACCTTCAGCACCACACATGCCTCTGCTTCAGTAGCCAGAGCAAAACACTTCCACTGGTGTTCAGAATTCATGAAGGAGGGAGAAAAATGCCATGGAAAAAAGTAGTCAGGTCAGATGTGAACATAAATGCTCTGCATATTGTAGGAGCTACTGATGTTAATCAGGAGTAGCTTCATGGATTGCAGGTTGTTCCTGGTCCAGAGTTACTGTGTAACCATACTAAACTGGTCAGAGTTTAGCCCAGATTCATTAAGGTGTTTATTTCTGGAAGTAACTTTGAGTGAAGTACAGATGTCTCTGTACAGTGGATGGGTTTAAATTGCAAAGGTGCTTGCTTTAATTTCGACATTGTAGTGGTGTACAGGGTGGAAAAGTGCCTTTGCCGCTTTGTGCTTCACATTGTGGCATTCCTTTCACCCGTTTCTTCGAGCTTTTAGGAGTTTACATAACATATTGCTTTTGCAAACTGAGGTGTTACTGGTATTACTGCTATAATGGAGTTCATTGAGAACCACTGTCCAGATAG